CACATTTCCATTCACCCATGATCAAAAAAGGAATAGAATTTGCCAGGATGTCTGAAGAAACTGTGCTTGCATTTGTTTCTCTTCTCAGTGTCTCTTCTTTAATTTGAAACTGAGAAGGGTAGGCCTTGGACCCTATGGTTAAGATGCTTACATTTCTTACTCAAAAGAGTTCAACATTTGTTTCTGGCTCCCTGCTGATGCAGACCCTAGCAAAGCACACTGCTGGCTCTAGTATCTGTGTTGTTTCTAGCTATGTGGGGGACATGGATTGAGTTCTTGGTTCCTGGCATTAACCTTGTCCCAGGCTCAGTCATTGAGAACATTTCAGGAATAACTCAACTGATGTGTGCATCCTCTCTCTTTCTCTCTTTCTCTCTTCCTCCCTACCCCCTCTGTGTGTCTTAAATGAATAAATTTTTAAAAGTTTTAAGTAAAAGACGCAAATTGCTGGATGGACACTATATTGCAAACTAAAAATAGAAATTTGACCGCAGTTTTTTGCAAGAGCATAGTAACTACTGAGTCTTGTTCATAGATGAATTCTCAGATGCAGAAACAAACTCCAGGTTGGGTAAATTTCAAATCTGACTCATTAAATGACACATGATCTATGTTGCTAATGGAATTTTTTTCAGTATGAATGCTCAGATGCTGAGTAGGATGTTTCCTCTGAGCACAAGTTTTCCTGAGCAGTGACATTCAAAATGTCATTCCTAACACAACTTCTGCAGTGATCAAGGCTTGCACACTTGCAAAGTCTCCCCACATCTTCCACATTGGTTAATTTCTCCTGTCTTTTTAAGTTATGTGAAGGATGCTCTGAGATGGAAGGTTTTCTCTTGATCATGGGAAATTCACAGGGCCTCTCTCTAGCGCAGATGGTGCAGTATAAAGCAAATTTTATATTTCAGTGACATGCTTTCCCAAGGTCAATGCATTCATATGATTTCTCTTCAGTGTGAATTTTCTGGTTCCTTGTGACATGTGATGGATGAAGTATCTACTCACATTCCAGGAACTACAGGACTTTTCAGTAGTGTGGACCCTGAAGTGCTGGAGCAGGGGCCTCCTTCCTGAGGGCTAGGTGCTCTGCCAATGTGACCTGCCAGGTGTTACACAGACTGTCAGGCCTGCAGTTCTCACAGCTCCCAAGCCAGGCAAGTAAGGCAGAAATCACAAAACAGAAAACACTTAGGCTCCTCAGCATCAAAGTCTGAGGTTATTGGACCTGGCAGCACCATAGTTGGAGTTTAGAGGGGACTGTGCAAGTGTCGAGAAGAAGTCACGTCACGAGGTGAGAAGCAGAGAGCAATGGCTACACTTGAATATTAGCTATCACATTCCACTATCGTTTTATTTGTATAGGATAATGAAATCGTATAAGTTCAAACACTACAGAAATATCTAGTGTTTAGACTTGCAACCGGTAGAGAAATATTTCATAACATAATATTTGAGATTTATATCTAAAATTTTTATTCTTAGGATAACAATTATCTATATTTTTAAAGACTGAGATCAATGTATACAATGTCATTTTTCTTACTTAGTCCAATATCTTGAAACTATTTTCAGAACAGAAAACACAATCAATTTTATGTTTCTAATATGTTTACTTGCTTTGTTGCATTTATATGCCAAATAGAAACTAGAAAGATATAGGAAAATTATGTAGTGTCTCAGGTTCACCAGTGCATGGGAAATCTTTGAGTAAATTTGCAGAACTTGTTGTCTGAGGGTAGTTCCAGTCCTTCTGCTGCATGTCTTAAGCACCAAGCCCTGAGCTGAATTTCAGGCCCATGTTTGCTGCCTGCGGGGTACACGTGGCAGAAACTAATACACACACCGTATGCAAACCTCGTGTAGGTACCAAATACGTATCTGAAGTCTTCTGTGGCAATAAGATGAGAGCATGAGCTGTCAACTGCAGATTTTAGCTGCCTTACAGCATGGATCATGGTTAAAGCCATGAGGTTTGGCAGAATAAGCAGAAATGGATGTGGAATGGATGACAGCCCCAAGGAAAATACTATAGGATTAAAAGTGGGAGGATGGGAGAGTGAGGGAGAGAGAAACAAAGAAGGGGTGCATACTACTATAGAAATGATAAAATTAACCCTATTTAAATGTCATGATGATGATAAACTAGTTTATCAGTATATATGATGTAATTTTATCAAGGCATCCTTTATACCCTGAAATTCTTGTCTCTTACTTTTTCTAAATTTAGGAGTTGAATTAATGCAGAAAAATGAATGAACCCCTTGCTATCAGAATTGTCATTATCATTAGCAGAAGCTCAGGAAATAAGTTCTGATGACATAACAAGTTCACTCTCCAAGCTGGCTTTGTGAATTGAAAAAAAATCAGATTTCAATTAGATGGGACACTCACAAATCCATTTTAAATCTAACTAAATATATGAAGCATTAAGTAAATTTTATTCAGCACCTTTCTTTCTAGTGCCTAATTATTCTGAACTATGTTATACATTTTCACTTGTGTCTAAAGAACAATAAGTTTTTCTTTTTTCTATAAAGTTTAGATTTTTCCTAAAATATCTTTGATTATTTCTTTTAGCCTTCACACTTCACCTAATTACCATTTATAAAATGGCCTGCAGAATAATTTTCCTGAACTTACCTTTTCATGTACCTAACTCTATATTGGTACATCTTGTTACCATCATCAATACATGAGGCTTTTCCTGAGACATTTTTTGTATAGTGTTATTATAATGAAGAACTTAAATTGCAAGTATCTTCTCATTTCTAATGCTACATTTGGAGTTATTATTATAAAATGAAAGCTGAGTTTCTCTCCATTTACTTTCTTACATGTAATTGTCTAGTAAAAATTATCATTGGACAACTTTTAGGAGTTTTGATTTCCTGGTTATTCTGTTTGAGTCTTATTGATATTATTTATAGAGGTATTATATTTAAGCCAATAATGGACATGATACTTTTCCTATCTACACAAGTAATTCAAACCAATGGTATATTAAAAATGTTAATGATTTGGAATTTATTTTATCTATGTACAAACAGTCAAAAATATTGACGGGGACAGGTGTTTAGAGATGCCTGTTTGCTAATTGGGACACCACTGTTTCTTTGTAGAGTGTTCGGTTCAAGTCTAAGCTCTCCTTCAGATTCCACCTTCCTGCTAACGTGTACCAAGCAGTATCAGATGATGACTTGGGTATTTGGATCCAGGCTACCTGTGTGGGAGACTTGGATTGAGTTCCAAGTTCTTGGCTTAAGCCTGGCCCAAACCTAGCTGTGACAGACATTGGGGGAATGAACCAGCAGAAGTCTCTCTCTTTCTGCCCTTTAAATAAAATGTTAAACAAACAAAAAGCCATGTTGCCTATAAGAGAGTACAGCATTGCTAAAACTGTGATCAAGAAACTACTGAATAATCTATTTTTAAGAGCTGTTACCTCATTTTATGTATAATTGACCTAGCCATTCAGCAGCTATTTCTTGAGCAAATATTCACAGTCTAACTTGAACTCGTGGGAAATTTTATTTCAGCAGAAATAATTTGCTCAGTGATTTCCCTAAACCTTTGTTTATATTGGAAATTCTTCACAAAGCAAGAAATACTTTTATGCTAGTCACATCAAGCCTTTTACTCGTTTATCATGATCAGAAAAACTGCTTGACATTCACTCAAAATTCATCTCAACATAGAAGAAACCAAAGTTAAAAACAATCAAAATGCAAAACAACACTCGTTTGACCCTTTTTTATGACCAGCCCAAGTGTGAGTACACTTTAGTTTGTAGATAATTTGACAACTCTGGCTTGTAAAAAGACCACTTTAGTCATTATTCATTATCTCAGGGTTTTGATTTTCCTCTGTGATGACTAAAGGAGATCAATATCAATGTTATTATTTTCTTGTTCAAACTATCTAATTTTCTAAGCTGGATTTGGCCACCAACATGTTTATTTTCCTTTTTAAACCAGCTGTCATATCACCATTTATGCTGTTAACTCTGCTTGCTTTTAATTCACTGAAATATATTCTTCCTGAAGCTGAAAGTCTATTGTTTTTAAAGCTTAAATCATTAAGTTTAAAACAAAGCATGAAGACTTGTTTCTTTGACACAACTAATGTTAAAGAATCAAAAGTTTTGTATTTAAGAAGGAGGCTTTTTTGGTGAAGTTCAAAAAATTTTTTTTATGTGGACAGTTTGCAAAAAATGTTTTGCATTTTATAAAACATGTCATTACTGATATGAGCCTATATCCTAATTATGTAAAAGTAGCAATATTAAAGTAATTACTAATGCAATGTTATATTATTGGAATAAACTTCTGGGAAATAATATCTTTGCAGACGTTATAGAGGGAAGCTCTTTCATTATACACATGTAAGTTGTAGATACAAAAACATCTCAAGTGTGTGTGTGGGGGGGAGGTATAATTATCCAAGTTCATCGATGCACAAAAGAATAAAAAATGTTGAGGAGAAAATAGGTTATAAAATGCTAGAGAGATGATCTGTATGAATTTGTTTAGTTGTCAAAGGCAGCCAAAGTAGATGCACTGATGTCAGGAAACACGGGTCCAGTGCTTTAGAAAACAAGACTTGGAGAGAAATATGTACAGCCATATCTTCAAGGAGTTAATTTTATTTTCAGCATTTTCTAAGTTTAACAGACACTTGACATGTTTTCCAATTGTCAAGTGGTGTTTGGCTTCTTCTGGCATTCTAACTGTAGTCTTTCGAAATCTCCCTCTCGCTAGCTCACACGTCATGAGCTCTTGTTAAGTTTCTTTTGGTCTCCCAGTGACAGACCTGAATAACCAAAATGTAAAAAATAAAAAACCAAGACTCTTGTAGCTGGTTTCCTCAGGCCTTGTGCAGTGGAACATGCAGGATGTAATTAGCTTCTGTGACAGTTTTAATAAAAGTGGTATGAAACACAAGGGACACAATGCTAGCGGTTATTGCACCTCAAAAGAGGAGAAAGTGTGGCGTGTTACCTCCTGATTAGCAGCAGCTAGTTCTTCTTCCAGTGCAGAGACTCTTTCTAAAGAAACCCTCAGTCGCTCCCTTACCTAGAAGAAAAATCAAAATATGTGCAGTAATGTACAGCCCATAGATATTAACCTGTGCTGAACCTGTCAGTCACATCATTACAGATAATCATTTTGGCAAAGTACCAAAAAATATTTGCAGCTGTAACTGTTCAGAATGTTCAACCTGGGGGATAAAGTATAAAGACATTGTCACCTCATTATAACAAGGGATTTCCTTACAAGAAAATCCTTTTGGTGGTTCCTGATTGAACTTCCAGTCCGGTTGACCCATTTTGCTCTGAATTCTAATTCAAAGTAAGTGGAGACAAAATTTTAAAGTATATTGTGCTTTATTCAGGAAAACTATTGCTGATGAACCATTAAAATAGGGAAAATATACACCTCTCCACTTATTTAAAATAATATGTGATTTTATTTAGGATTCAGTATCTGTCTAAAAATGATTTGCCTAAAAGCAAAGGATTCCTAGAAAACATTCATTGTTGTCATGTTGTCAAGTAATTAGAGGTTACATTTTTTTAAAAGATTGCAAAGGGACCAATAAATCTGGGATTTACATATAGCTTCCATATTCAAAAGATTAAATCACCATGTATTTTGTAGGTCCCCGAAGCTGCCTATTTTGGTTTGGAAATAATGAAAATTTGTGAGTTTCACGAATAAGTGAAACTCAGAGGTCTCTGATGTTGTTTCTTAGAACTTCACAATTTTTTAATATTAAATGCATGGATTTCCAAATTATTTTGTATCAAAGGAACTTATCCTTTAATTCCATTTCCAAGAACTTTTTGAAGTACTCTCATATTTTTAGATTTATACAAAGACTCCTTATATCATTTACATTTAGCAAAAGCAAATATGTTCACAGGAGGTTTTCATTAAGTTAAAGTGAAAGAGTATAATAGCTTAGTCTTTCAAAAAGTCACTAAACTTTATATCTTCAGATTTTGACTAAAATTCATGATGAGTTTTTGGCATGTGTATTAATCCAGATTTCCAAAATGTTGACATATTTATACCATGAATGTGTATATTTACCATTATTATACTCTTATATACTTTGATTTTATTGACAGTATATTTTTGTGAACAATGTTTGTGTCACTAACAAAATTTAATTACAAATATAGGTTAGGCACATAAAATATATAAAAACCCAGATACATAACAGTTCTAAAGGTGGCATTATAACATTAGTTTCCATATAACGCACACACACACCAAGCCAGCAATGTCATATTAATCTAGAATTTAATTTGACATTTTTCTGAATTTCCACCATGTTTACTCAGCTGACTGAAAGCACTTAATATTCTGAAATAAACAAATAACATGTATGCTCAGGTGACCGGATGCACTTATACTCTGAAATAAATATTGAAAGCAAGAAATACATTTGAATAGGCTTTTTAACAAGAATGATATTCTCTGAAAAGTACAATATATACAAAAAGGTATTTTCAAAATATTCTCAAGATCTTTTATAATATTTAGCCGTAACAAGTTAACTGCTAAGAATTTATATCATTAGTAAATTGTTAATACAAATGCATAGAATATTCTTCAAACAACAGCTGCTTCAAAACTTTTTTTGATGATTTGATTTCTCTGAATAATCTTTTTTGAATTACATTGATAGAGACAAAAGAAACCATGCAAATGAGCTGGATGGCAGATATGCAGGATGCAGTTATCAATTAACGTGTTTAAAAAACACTGATATTTAAGGATAACTATAAAGTCTTATTTTCTAAAACAGCATCTGTAAAATACGGTGTTCTTACAAAATCTTATCTGGACTGATGGGAAGAGCATTGTGAAATGATCTCAGAGTAAATGAATGATGTCTCTAGACACGAAGCTAATCAGTTCAGACTTAGACTGCAATGAAGAGGTCAAGTGTGTGGTCTCATAGCACTCTCATTAACTGGGAAGATCGCAGAGGAACCATCCAAGTGCTAAAAGGAATGGCCTTATCCAGGTTTCGATGATGGTGAAGACACTGTTCTGATAGTCTTTAAACTAAAGCGAAAATCTAAGGAACTGCTCCAAACAGTTTTCTGTTTCCAAGTGGAGCATTTATTTCCTCTTTATACAGACCCTCAAGGAAATAAAAATCATTATGCTCATGAAATAGTATAAAAATGAAATAATTACTCCTCAGTAAATTTAGTATTCTACAAATTGAATTTTATTACCAACAAAATAAATCAGCGCTGTATTTCTAAGAAGAATAAGGCAATTTCTGCATGTATTCTGAATTTCGTTATATCAACGCACTATGGCAATAATGCTTGACTCACGTGAGGTCAAATCATTCTATTTTAAATTTTGACTCCCAGCAAATATAACTGTAACATGCTAGCTTAATCTTGAACTTACATCTGTTGGATTTACTAAAGAAAAATGCACGTGGGGTACAGGCACAAGGGAATAACCTTTTTACCATATATAGGATTCAATCATGTTACCTCGTCTATTTGGCTTAAACTGCATTGTTAGGGAGAAAATAAAATCATGGATGTGCCTACTGTTTTTTTTTTTTCTTTCTTACTGTTTTTTCATGAGCATTTCATGAACAGAAAGCTATAACTATTTTTATTTTCTTGCTGGATTTTGTGCTTATGTGAAACTATGTAGACAGTATAATATGCCACAAAAAATGCAGTTTCAGATTTAGCTAAGTATATGTACATAGCTGAAGCCTTTTCTTTCATTTTTTTCCTTAATGATTCAATCACATTCATGTAATGTTGCAATTCAATCTTTATATTTGAGTTATTAATTGCTTGAGAATTAGTCTGGCTCTGAAGTGCATTATTTTTATACATCTACAATATTTATTTTAATTAAATTTATTTTCTGTATAGGTATGAAAAATACCTAAAAAGAAAAATTTTCCTCCAAATCGTTTCAGGGTTAGAGTTTTCAACTCAAACGATTCAAATAAAACAACTTTCTAAAAAGGACAGGTGTGACACAGAGTGAAGATTCTCTGATACGAGTAACACACATTACAGACTGAAATTACGTGATGGCAGGATGTCATTTTGGCGACTATCAAGAAACAGCCCTAGGTCGCAAGTTCAATATTTAATGATAAGAATATCTCGGGATGCTTATATGTACTTAATACGTTAGAATTGTGTTTTTTGTGCATGTTCAATGTACTTTATCTTTTGTCAATGATTTCTAAATAACTGCAAAACACATAGGTAGCTCTGTCATTTCCTCTGGTTTACAGAACTGGGAAACATATCAAAAGGTGATGCCAAAGACACTACTGATGTTAGCTAATTGTAAAACTTTTGCCCTATTGCTAACTAGGTGTGTAAATAAGTGAGCATTGTGTTTGTCCTCAAATATTCTCAGTACCTTGCAGTTCATGTAGCCATTCATCCTCAGCTTTCTATGGAAGTGTTTTCTTGTTTCCTAGGCGTGATTAACTGTATCTGCTTCTATTATTCCTGTACGCATTTAACATTCCAATCATAACATTTAAATTGGAATATTACAATTTCTCATCTCTATGCCCCTGTCCTCACTGCTCCCCACTTTCACAAGAAGATACAAGTTATTCTTAGACAAATTGTCTGTATAGGTACTTAGGCAAATATTAGTATATGGATTACTAAATAAAATGCTGTTTAAATGAGCAGACTCAATAGTAATACCTTTTCTTAGCTTCAAAGTGTTGTCGAATGTTGAAATTCACTCATTAATAACTTCACTAATAATCCATGAGGACTTGCTGTTTACTAAGCATTGATTAGGAGCTTTGCATATTACATCATATCAGGTGCTTAGAACACTTCTAAGCTAGTTACTACTGTAAGGAGAGGAAATGCACGCACAGATGAGTTACTTGCCCAGTCCTGCTCAATTCCGAGATGTAAATTCATAACATTTTTTTCACTTAGGCTGTTGAATATTACTTCGTTGATAATTGCTTCAGTTGCCCCTAAACTCATGTATTTCCAGGCAATCCTGGCAAGTTAATTAACACCATTACAGCTCTGAGGGACATAACAGAGAATATTTCATCTACTTATGCTAAACTTAAAAAACTTTCACGTAATAAAGGATGGCTGGATGCAGTGAAACCACCTTTTTTTTCTCGCTAAAATATACTAGTAACTTAGGTTTGTCTTAAGTACTGCTCATTACCTTAATAAAAATCATTCTTTCATGCAAACAACCTTCGTATATGAGTGGTGCAGGAGTGTTGCTAAGGAACATCTGAAATCATACTGTGCTTAGTACCTTCACTTAAGATGTTCCAAACTGTTAAGTTTTCTGCAGAGAGGTAGTGGTCTTCCCATGGTTTGGGGTTCGTTCACTTCTTATTCCTCCTGCTTTGAAATCTGCTTAAAGCGCACAGAGTCACTCTTAGTAAGTAGATCAAGCTCCTTTTCACAGATGGACTTGACATTCTTGTCACTCAAGCAGAATTAGTCACAGCCCTCCTTGGGACTCTGTTGTATTGCACTCATCTGCTTTTATTCTCTGATATTGATATCCAAATCTCCAGCATTAAATATGAAGCATTCAATTAAAAGCATGGCTTATTTATCTTTGTGTGTAAAACCTCTGCGAAGGAGACTGACATGTGATAAATATTTTATAAATTCAAAGTCTGACAAATTCTTAGCAGTATGATTTTGTGATGAAAGAGGGACTAGATTCTACACATACCACAGGATCATTTGGTGTTATATTTAATAAGGTCTAAATAATATCCACTTATTTTATTCAGAATTATCCACCAAATGGTTATATTTCCTGGTTAAATGAAAACTATACATAACTTATTTTAATAAGCTAAATGAATTTTATTATTTTGCATACATTCCTAAATAATCTCCTGCTCTAAGGAGTTATTAAAGACAGATGATAAAAATGTATGTATTTAAATATTAAACAGAATAAAAATGCCTGCATGTTCAAAACCTAGGTATAACTGAGAAGTAATCCCTGGTTTTGATTTTAATGCTCACAAGTTGTCAGATACTTTACAGTGTGGTGTTCCAATTCCCACTCCGCTAAATCCGAAAGCTTCATTACGTTTAAAGTTTGTTATCTGAAGTTCCATAAAATTCAAATAATCTCATAAGCTTTTATAATCACCAAAGGTATTAACATCTTCTTGGCTTGTATATGCCAGAATTTACTTGAGTAAGAGCAAAGAGAGGCTTAGAGCTCTAAAAGCAGGTTTTTCTACTAATGCATTTTGCTGTTACATGTACAAATTCTTAAACGTATATTTGAAAGCAAGCCATTAGAGACCTAAAAATTTGGATGTATGAAAACTAATGTACGCCGCCTTTGAACCTCAGTGAAGTGTCTCTTTGATAACAGACTCTAATTTTGACATCTATAGTCATGCATGCCAGAGAACGAGGAGAGAGAGGGACAGTGGGAGGGAGGAAGAAAGTTGGCAGAAGACTGACTGAAACATATTAATCATGGCAATCTGGAAAAGGACCACATGTACCACAATAAAAGTCTAATTTTGATAAACCATGGATGCAGAAGTATTAAAAAAAGGGAACATGGTAGTGAAATATTATCAATATATACCAAGTAATCCATTTTGTTCTCAAATGATTTTTGATGTAACTCCAATGTGATCCTGTCAACTGACTCACTGCAAGGAGTCAAGAAAAGAGGCATGGTACTAACACCAAAGTCTAGGAAGGTCTGCATTCTGTTGTCTGTACTGTACCTTTTCATCCAAGGCCTTGTGGTGCTCAAACAAGGATTTCAGTGCCTTAAGAACCTCAACTTCACTGGACACTCCCGAGGGAGACTGGGCTTGCCGCTTGACCACCGTCATCCTCAGCGACCTTTCATGTCTTGACACAAGGCACTCCAAGTGCTCCAATAACAGCTACGGAGGTAACAGAAAAGGTGATTAATTTATGGTTTCTAGTTACCAGCTTTTATAGATGCCTACTGCCTGAAAATATGACACACTTACCCAGTAACTTTCTACATCCTCATGTTGAAGTGCACATACCAACATAGACTGCCAAAATATTTTTAATCTGTTTATTAAATCCAGTTAAGATAATTACATTTCAATCATTTAAAACATTGCTGAATTAAATATTTAATGCAAATGTTATACATTATTTTAGCAAATTTAATACTGCCAGTATGGATCTGATAGAATTAGAATACTCAACAAAATATTTATGATCCACTATGTTGCTATTAAAGAGTGTTATAATATATGAGATTTTTAAAGAAAACATACATATATTGAAATTAAAATTTTATTTCGTTCACATAGGATATTTAATTTTTTTAATAATGTGAGCAATCATTGTGATACTTTGCATTGGAATAATAATCATATGATTTTATTTATCATCCTTAGATTACATTTTAAAAATATGAAGCTGAGTGGATTATAATGAGACGAGCAATAATCAACTTGTGAAAAAGAATTTGGGAAGTGATTTTTAAATTGCCCCTGTTGGATTTCACACGCCCTACAGTGCGCTCTGGCTCTGTCACGGCAAGGCAGAGTCCAGTGACAAGTTTCCAGGCTGTGGTATCTAATATACTTTGATGTTTGCTGAATAATTTCTGCATCTAAATGGGTTGTGAGCTGGGATTTCATGTTTCTTTTCATTTTAGAGGTAATACTGATGTGAAAAAGGATAGCTAAATAGCAACTTCTTGGTTATTGATAAATATTGCAGTACTACTAGTGAAGAACTAACACTACTGGTAGGTTTTGTACAACATACAGAAAATTGAGTATCACAGAGTAATAAGTGGTATTTATGCAAAACAAGGGCAAGAATCATACACAAGCTACCCCAACAAGGGGGAAAAGCTCATATAAGATACTGGAGGTAAGAGAAGTAAAGAACAAAATATTGTTTCTAGATGTTTTAAGTCTGTAATTTTAATGAAAAATGTTGCTTTTCCCATTGTAACTTATCAAATAAAAAGTGGAACTTCAGTGTAAGGTATTAGTTTTATAGTTTTACATCTTTATGGCTTAATATGTACTTATTTAAAAGGCACAAACATTCACGCGTGTGCGCACACACACATTATCTTCCATCTCTTGGTTCAACCCTAAGGCAGTACACAGAGCAGGGCAAGGCCTAATCCAGATCTCTGCCATGGGTGGCGTACAAGTTCCCGACCCTCATTTGCTGCATCAGCAGAGAGCATGAACAGTGTAGTCAGGACCAGTGCTCAGGGTCCCCATCATTTGGGTCATCTTGCACTGCTTATCCAGGCGCATTAACAGCAAGCTGGATCAGAAGTGGAGTAGTTGGAAACCAACCAGTGCCCATATGTGATGCTGGTGTCATAGGCAGTGGTTTTACCCACTGAGCTGTAGTGTCAACCCCTTCTATTATTATTATTTTTTAGTTTTAGTTTATGTGTGTGTCACTTCAAACCCTCCTGTTTCAACTTATTAAGGGGATTGGCATGAACAAATCCTGCTGTATTTCTTCTGTGCCATATGGAATCTGAAAGCTAAAAAGGACATCTGTTACTAGTGACTGCTGGAATCTTATGATTGCGTCCTTTACTTTTGGCAAGTGTCTCACATCACAAGTTCTACCTTTCCAACACATGGTATAATCCCCCCCATCCCAGCTGCCATTCATTGTGTCAGTCTTTGCTTTGCAAACTCTTCTAATCATAACAGCCTACTTTAGTTTTTCATTCTGCCAAACTGTTGCCTATGTTGGAGTACCTTAACTTGGCTCCTTATTTTGCCAGCTCTTTCTATTCTGCCTCAACTTCAATAAAACTCTCTTATGAGGCATTCCCTCACTACTTAATGCATAGAGGAGTAGGTCGTTCCTCTTTCCTGTCTTTGTAATCCTCATAATCTAGCATGATGTGTAACTTTCAAAAACAGCGCTATCTCATTCAGTTCCTTTTGCTGGATGATGAGCTCTGCCAGGTAAGCACTGTGTCCTTCTTGATCCTTTCCATCCTCTCTGTATTTGGGTGTCAGCTCACCTCCTGTCATCTGCAAGCATGCAAGACGTATTGGTTGAGTGCATTTTAAAAGTGAATGAATGAGGTAAATTTTCCTGTGTACACTCTATGTTAAATCTGTGGCTGTGATTAATTGGCATCATTTCTCAAAACTATATGGTATACAGCCTTATAATCTGCATGCATATTTCAGCTAGGTGACACACTTACAAAGAAACAAGATTTATAACAAAATGGCAACTGGTTTCCCTAACTGTAAGATGCAGATCTTTGGTTAATTAATATAGTAATTCAATGAATGTCTGAGCCTGATATTGCAAAGTACAATAAGGATATAGAAATAAATAAGACAGAATGCTTAGCCTATGTAAAAAGGAGCATGATGTATGACACAGAGAATCTATTATGGACATCTGTTCTGAGACGGCTCTTAAACCTTTGGATTATATTCTTTACTCTTGGTGAGTTCTTCACATTGTGTATTTTCCCCCTCCAATAGAATACAAAATCTGTAATTCTCAGTATTCTATGCCACGTAACCTCTAGTAATTCCAGAGCCATGTGAAAAAAAAAAAAAGATCCTCCTGAAGAGTTTAGCTGTGTGGAGAGTTATAGAGGGATAAGGAGAGACAGGGAGAGAGAGCTTTTATCCCCAAATGGCCACAATAACTAGAGTTGGGTTGATTGAAATCAGGAGCCAGAAGCCTCCTAAGGCTAATGAGCCAGAAAATTAATTAACATGGAGCTAAACTGGAGTAAACTGGAAGTGGGACAGTCCAAACTAGAATCAGATCTCCAATCTGTTGGTTCATTCTCCAGTGGTCCTAACAGCTATGGTTGGGTCAACAAAAACCCAGAAGCAAGGAGCTTGTTCTCCCACATGTGTGCAGGAGCTCAAGGACTAACAGATTTGAACTAGAAATTGAAAAGCCAGGACTCAAACAACACACAGAGGGATAACAGCACCACAAGTGGCAGTTAAACACACTACATGACTACACCACAAAACCACAATGTCAGCCCCCATGTTCAGTGTTATTTTATGTTTTATTTAGCTCAAAATCACTTTGACTATTCTAGGTCTTTTGTGGTTAGCTTTAGTTTAGCTGTGCTTTTCTAAATCTGTAAATAATTGCAGTAAAGTTTCTGAAGGGTGTTGCATTGGCCTATAGATTGCTTTAGGTAATATAGACATTTTAATTATATTAATTCAAACACTTGTATTTTCAGTATTTAGAATATAAGCACACAGTAGCAGCAAACATACATTTGTTGAATGAGTAAAGAATGCCAATCAAACACCAGTTTGTGTCACATTTGTTTGTAGGCAACTATTCTTCAAGGCAATGATAATCTGCGATCTGACTGGAATAGATTTAACACAAGTAATGATTACTTAATATCAAAATATAGTACATTCTTTCATGATACATGGAGGTGTAGCAGAGACTTAAATAATCACTTGAGCTTTCTCAAAACGGAACATCTGTGATGTTACGTTCATGGACTGATAGATCATTTTGAAGAGCATGAAGAATTTAACAAATGGTGTGCTGGGTGCTTTGAACGGCATTGAACAGTTTAAAGAAAAGTAACAGAAACATAGGATTTTAAATTGTAGGTCAAGGATTATAGAACTCAGGGTTGTCTATGATTTCTCATAATAGCATCTCATTACAGACTAAACAGAAAGATGAACCTGATCAAAGAGAGGTCACTGAATTACAATGTGTAATGAAATTCATAGCCTTTCCAGGTGTCTTAAAAACTTCATATTCATCATGGTAAAAAGTTCTCCCAAAGACTAGAAAAGGAACATTTGAAAAGATTTTGGTGTTCCTAAGTTGCCTCTTTACATCAATCCCCAATGAGTTTCCCTGCCTCCTGGTGAAGCCAGTCCTATTTACCTTAACTAGCACATCATGACTTGCAGCAGTCACTTCGAAGAAGGAAGTTGCTTCTCTTTCTGTCCCTTCCTGCACACTCCTCCTTCCCTCTAGACTTATAACCAGAGTATGAACGGGTAAATAACCACATCTAACCTGAGAGGATTGTTTTACAAATCAAAAGGCTTGTGAGATCTTGTCAATTTTATAATCTCAGAAATTTGGGAAAACATGTAGAAACAGATACTCACAGTTCTAGAATAAGCAGGAAGAAGCAGTTTGGCCTGGAGAAATTAATCATTGTAATCCTATTGTAGTTATTAAATAATTGAACTTTCACATCAAACAGCAAGGAGTGATTCTAACTGCATGCCCCAGTGGTTAACAGTAATTTGAGTATAAACTGTGTGGAGGCCTAAAAAGTGAATAAGTGTCAGTAATATTTTGATTCAAAGATGGAAGAAGGAAAGCTAATGATGTATTAAGTTTAAAATGCTGAGTTGAACTTACCTACAAGCTGTTTCCTTGCTAATAACCAAAGCAACACTCTTTCTATCCAGGATTTGAGAAATTTATTGATAAAAGCAAAATTCAGAACCTAAAAATCCCTGTAACAAGGGAGCTTACTAGATAAAGGATGAAAATTGAAGAAGCATGGTCCTAAAATGAACCCAGAGATCTCCCTAGGATGATAGAGTTCTACAATTACAGGGCTTAACTAATAGCTCCGAACCGCCTGAGCTATAGTAGGTGTGGTTACTGTAACCAGCACAATAGTTTGAGCCACTGTTATCTTTGTAATGCCTAAGACATTGATGTTTGTCACATTAATATCATAACAATTATAATAAAACTGTAGATCTAGCATACTTAAGTCTAACTTGAATGAAGGGTTTCGGTCTCCTGTTATGGTCTTAGGCAGATAGTTCAGGGTCATAAGCTTGGAAGCCGTAACTTCCCCACCTCTGTGACACTTTCTGTCCACCTGTGAGTCTGGTGATGCTCATCTATCATCTGGAACCCC